TAATTCTGCTACAGTTACTTGATTTATATTAAACTAATATGGTGAAGGATCAGCTTCTCTGTTATCCAAAATACATGCTGTGTTGATGATGCTTAAACCCCACCAAAATCTAAGGCTCAGTTTGGTCTCTATGGCCAAAAGATTTCATGGCATTTAAAAGGGTTTGTCTAGGCAAGCCTGGAAGTTGTTCTCATCCTGAATTCTGTATGTTCTTTCACAGGTAGTTCATGCATACCTACTTTGTAAAATAATTATGCAATCTTTCAGAATAGGTATGATGTTACTGTTCTGCTGTTAAAAGACTAGACCAAATGCATGTTGAAGCTAGCACTAAACTGTAGTGGCCTTGGTCATGGCACTGTCCTTAGCACAGTGTGCAGCACAGGAAGAGGAACCTTTTAAACCCTGAAAGGATGGCACAATTATTCCCTGTCTTTCAGAACATAACTCCATGCTGAATCTGATCACCACTGCTCCCACTTTAGAAGTAGAAACTTGTAAACATGTTTCTGAGGGAGTAAATTCCAATATTTATTATTTTTTTTTTACACAGGAGAGCTTATGTAACCGCTATCATATGTAAAGACTGTTCTGGGAAATTGTTTTTTTCACATTTCAATTAGCTTCCCCTGACACTCAAACCAGAGCATAAGCAACATGATCATTATGTGCATAAGGTAAATGAAATAAAGAATTGAATCCACTTATCATTTGTTATAGCCCCCATCTTCTGTGAGTTAATTAAAATATGACATTAATTTCAAAACCATTCAGCTATAGATAGAGATTCAAATGATTATAATATAATAATCATAGGCACAAAAATTTTGTTCACTCTAACAGTTTATTTTAGGAAACTCAGTCCAGCAGGATGAACCTTGAATATACAGATTAATGTAAGGAAGGAAATGTTACTATGTCTGTTAGTTAATACAGAAGCCAATCTTATTAATCATGGATTTACACAGGGCTGTTTTATTAGATGTTAACCATAGCTTATGTTGACAATTGATTTTCATTGTAGGACAACTAAATTTCTTATTTGTAATAAGATAAAGATAATTAAATTGACTTTATAAAGGCTACTATCATAAATGTTAGTACCTGTGAATAGCAAACAAAACTGCTTTAGCAGCAAAAATTCAGTTAAGTGGTAGGTGCTTTCTTTACGTTTAATAGTCCCTGAACATTTTAAGCCTGCATTTTATTTTCCAGAGCTTATACCTACTGCTGGGAAAAACTGTTTGAGTTGAAGCCTCACTTTCAGTTTCTTTACAATAAAGCAGGATCAAAAATTTTATTGTCACAGAAGTAAAACAAAGCACTAAGTACAAATGCATTATGAAGTGGAGCTTTATCCTGTCATTTCAGATTTGTCATTAAAGTACTCAAAATAGTATGTTGAAAAAGATGTTGGATATACAATATAATTAAGTATTAAAAAGTGTAATTATTAAGGAAGTTAAGTCAGACCTTGCAAAAATTGAGGGTACTTGGAACTTATTTGATCTTTTTAAATTGTATTGTTTTTATATATGTCTCTATCCCTTAATACCACCTATCCAGCTATGATCATAGAGTCATAGAATGCTGGGGGTTGGAAGGGATCTCTAGGGAGCCTCTTGTCCAGCCCATGCCAGAGCAAAGCATGGCCTGTGTTCACCCTAGCTGTTTGTTCAGGCACCTAAACAGAAGTACTTAAGTGAGAACCCTGTCATGCCCTGCCCTCTCCAAGGTCTGGGAGAGAGGTGGGAACCTCAAAGGGTGAGTCATTACTAGATGTTCTGTTTTTTTCTACTCATCAACAAGATGGGAACCTAAGAAGGTAATTATTTTAATTTGGGTGCTACAAGTACACAGAGGAAACTGGGATAAGCATTACTCACTTTGAACTTTCCTATTGTGTTGTGTTTTTTCTAATGTTAGACATTTATTGAAACACAAAATACAGATGCTTTGGCTGAATTCTGACTCTTCACAGCTACCTCATGCTCATAGTTAGCCACCATCAGGTCATTATAAATAGCACTTTCTGATACTCCGTGTGTGTAATTGTAGTGAAGGTGCTGAAGCTGTCACAACAATCTGATATTGTCTGGTTTTAATACATTACTTAATCTGTTTAGGACTAATCCAAGGCAGATTCATTCTTCAGGCAGTTTCCATTTTGATGTAGTATTTACTTTAATTGAAAGGCTGTGATCCTGTTCAAAGACATAATTTCCCCCTCTCTCCCCTGCTGTCATTTGAGTGAGATAACAGGAAGAGACAGTAAGATAACTGCCACTTATTTGGATTTCACTGAAGCTTTCAGGCAGAAACAGGGACGCCACCCAGAGCCAAATCAATGTGTTTGAATGATTTGCTGATTATCTGTGTTAGTTATTCCCTGGTTATCTTGTCTGGTGTACAGGACTAGCTCTTTGCCTTTGGGCTTTGGCCTGCTGCTTATTTTAACCTATTATTTCTGGGGAATATTCTGCATCATAAGTAGTGCACCCAAGAATAATTAGTACTGGAAAAACTGAGGACTAGTATGTTAATAACTGACAGAAAAAGGCTTGTTTGTAGTTTTTCATGAGGGCATCTCAACTTGTTAGTAAAACAGGGCTAATAAAGTGGCCTTTGATAGCTCCTTTCAAGACTGGCTTGAACATTTGGATCACTGCTTTGTGTCATAATTAATATGAAAATATATGGACATTCCAAGACCTCCCTGCCAAGATACACTGAACAGGGCACTATGCAGATCATACACGTAGAAGAATTTAGTCTGAAAGACCTGTCAGTGAGCAGGTGAACAGGCACAAACAGGCATTGATATGGTGACCTGAGCTCCTTGCCTTGTCTTGCAGCACAGTGCTGCTGTAATCACTGCTGCATCCCTCACTGAGAGGGGTTGTTGTCCAACCCAGCAGCAATCGGACAGAAAAAGAGATCCAATGCAGCTCCAAACACATTACTTGAATTTAAGCTTTTCTTCCACAGAAGATCCTTGTAATAAAAGACAAGAAACTATAGCAACATTTAAGAACTTTGAGTTAATAACATTGAAGTTTCTAAAGTAAGTACTGTGTGATGGACCTAGAGTAGCAATACAGTCAGATTGTGCAGTCTGAACTCCCTCCTGCAACCAAAAGATTTGAAAATTTCTTCAATATCCAAGGAAACATCCTGTGCTTTGGCCCTTCTGGCAACAAAAAGAAAATGATGCCTCTGAATTCAGTCCTCTTGTGTTGCCATTGCCCTCCCAGGGAGGCAGGCCCTTGATCAACAGGCTGTTTTTCTGGCTTTTAACCATGTGCATTTTAACAACATAATAATAGAACCATAATGTAGATAAACATATACAGCTTTCTCCACAATAGAAATAAATCAGTTAATTCTATCAATTACCTTGCCTGAGTGAATTTATCTGCCATAACTAAGGCAGTTAGCACACTGTCTGAGCTAATGCAGGAGAAGTGAGGAAATAGAGCTGTTATCAAAATGAGATTCTGTCATTCTGAATGATGCCAAAGAAACCTCAATGACAAAGCAATACAGATGAAATCAGACTGTGTTTTGCAGCCAAACACACAGAATAAGAAACAAAAGCACCTCGTGCTGCTACCAGAATTATGGGCCAGTGTTCCCTCCCCACCCTCCTGGACTGGAGCAACTGGTACAGCCTGTGGGGTGAGGCTCCCTGCCCTGGAGAGAGAGAGAGAATGGCTGTGGGGCCAGGGCCCTCTCTCTGCCTTGCCAGCCTGCTGTCCTCCCCTTCCTGACTCTGTGTGTCTACAGCTCTGCTCATTTTGCTCTTTAGTCAAGACAAATTGAGAAGTCTGAGGAGAGACTGATAAACCAGCAATTACAGAGCAAAGTCAACAGAAAGAGATGGCACCACGTTGGCTGATGGGAGCATTTGTTCAGGGAGGGGAGAGAGCTCCAACAGCAGATACAACTTTCATGACACAGATAACAGGTTTCCACTGGACATCAGTCTCCAGTGAAGTTGGTCTAACCTGTAATATCTACAAAACCAAACTTTTGGCTGGGCCAACAAATGTAGATACTCTGTAGCCTTAAAATATCCATTTTCAGTCACACATTTGCTGTAAACTTCATGTATTGACATAAACTGGATCAGGTCTAATAAAAATATCCGAAGAGGAATTCAGAAGTGGCAGTCAATGATCAGCATAAAGATTTGATCTTTAAACTTCCAGGCATCTATTGACATCTGTGTCTCTCATTAAGAAAGGAATATTAGAGTTGCTGTATCAAGGCAGACCATTAGCTGAAATACCTTTTTCCTGCCAGTGATCAGAAGACCATATTGAGGGAAACTGTGTGAGAAACCAGCACAGATAGAGAAATCCTTTCCTGCTCTCATCAAACAGCAATGTAAGGGCTTCCTTAGCCAAACGCTGTGAGCGAGCTACTATGTTTAATACTCAACAATGTACCCATCCACCATTAATTTGTCTTCTCCCTTTCTGAATCCATTTGTACTTTTGGCATCCAGTGCTTCCCATGGCAACAAGTTCCACAATTTAATTATGTGTTGTGTGAAAAAGTACTTCCTTTTGTTTGTTTTAAACCTGCTAAAACAGAATTACAGGATGCACAACAGAATTGCATGGGCAGATTTAAATGGGAAAATAATGTGGAACGACAATGGAAAATCAGTCTCAGCACAGAGAACTGGAAACGGGCTTTGTTTTTCTTTACTCTGACCACCAGTATGGGGTTAGTTAGTACTTCCTATCATTCCTCTCCCTGTCATAAACAAGCCAATTTACCTGATTAGTGTGAAGAGTTAGAAAACAATCTGAGCTCCCAACAAAAATGGCAATGTTTGTCAGAAAAGTGATGTCTGCTGTATACTTTTTCTCTTAGGGCAGAAAAGATGTGCTGACTGCTGCAACAGGCAAAGAGTTCTCTGAATTTGCATTTGAATTTGCTAGGTGATGCAATGGTTAAACATGTCAGTATGACTTGGTGCTCTTGAGGAGATGCACCACAGAGAAAGAGTGAGCAAGCCTCTCTTCTTGGAACTGAAGCATGATCGCATCTGGAAAAGGTGAGTGCAGTTCTCTGCACCTCATTACCAGGAAGACAAGCTGGAGGAAGTTCAGAGAAGAAGAGCCAACTGTAGCTACATGCTTGGGAGAACTGGATGATGGGAAAAAAGGACAAAAAGCTGATACTATAGAGTTTGCTAACTGATGCTTACGGTGTAAGATGACAAAAACTGTTAGCTAACATTTTAAGTATAAATCTGCAGGAATGGGAGGAACTAGGTTGAGTGTGGAGCAAGACAGTAACATAAGTAATAACAAACTTAGCAGAAACCAAATGTAATGACATTACTTCATCTCTGGCACTGCCCCACATCTGGTTTTGACCTGGGCATTTCAGGTTTCAGCCTGTAACATTTGTCAGGATCACAGGTTATCATCTCTGCTCTTGCCCAGCAGAAAGAAGTGTGGGCACAAAGTCGTCAGTGCCATTGTCTGAAGACAGGTTTGAGCCACCTCCTTGTGGCCTAGCAGAAGGGCTCAGTTGGTGCCGTCGGCGTCATTGCTGTGCATGTGCCGAAAGCAGATAGAAGCACTGTTTGTGTCCCAGTTGTGCTCGTGTCTGTGGCAATGACAGCAGGACTTTGACCTTGGTTCAGACGTTCTCTGAAGAAAGAACATCCCTGGGTCTAAGTTGGGGCATAGACAGATATGGAAAGACTAATCCTTTTTGGGCTTTATCTGTAAGTCTATGTACTCCTAAGAAAGTCCTCACCCTCCAAAGCCCAAATGTGAGCTAAATATGAAGAAAACTGTAGAAAATGCAACTGTAATGGAATGAAAATGCAACAGGCAGAAAATGAAAGAGCATTGGGTTGCAACAGAAGTAAATGCAGCAGGGTTTTGAGGGGTGCTCACTGTGTGGCAGACCTTGCCAATGTGACTTCTTTCTGCTAGTTCCTGTGATTTTACGGTTATCTGGAGCGTCCTGACTCAATAGGAATTTACTCTTCAATGAAACAGACAGAGGCTTTGACAGTCTGTGGTGATCTTTCCCCCAAACAAACCTGTTTATCTGTAGAACACACTTATCCTGACTATCTGACTGTAACATACTTTTTTATAGTTTAATATTTTACCGATGTCAGATGGGTGCTATGAAGGCTGCATAAAGAACAAGGTCGTGTCTCCCAAGAGATTCTGTCCTGATGTGAAATGTAACATCATTTGAAAGAGACAAAAACCATAGAAAAGTAGCTTAGGAAGCTATGGAATTGAAGTGATGGAGTGAGGGCTTGGTATAGGCACATCCTAAAATAAAACTGCTTACTTCTCTTTAAAGGTAGACCATTCTGACTTGATTGTATAATCATGGTCCAACTAAACCTGCCTTTACTTATGGACAGATTTTCAGTGCATCTGGAACTGTGGAAAAAGACCTCCCTTGCTTCAAGAACAATTCTCTTAGAAGATAATGTCATGGCAAAAGTCAGGCAGGGTTCACCCATTTCCTCTCATGCTGCCAGATGTTCCTTAGAGAAGAACTGTGAGCTACATCTACCTTCAGTTTAAATTGCTTAGATCATATTAACGAATGGGTTAGGTCATGTTAATTATTTCTGAAACTTTAGTTTGCATTACCTTTTAAAGAAAACTCCTGAAATTGTATATATTTCCTAAAGTCTGGTTACACAAATTTAAAGCACACAGCTGTACAGAGGGCAGTGTAGAACCTGTTCTTCTAGAAGGAAGATATATTTTCTTCAGTTAATTTCTGGTACATGTTGGTAATATTATACAAGGAATTGTTCTGGTATATTATGAATCTGTAATTAGTGGGTCTCACCCACATTCTACAAAGTCTCTGAAATCTCTGTCTTGGTGAGCAGCCTGCTTTCTGCATCTATTCCCCAGATGTTTTATGCATCCAACGAGTCTGAACAGATTTTTTAAATCCCATATTTGTTCACATGCCAGATGCATCTTTGGCTGTATGTTAGTATGTGAAGAACTTCATGGATTGCTATGTGACCCATATGTAAGCATTTCTCACTGCTCATCAAATGAACGACCCCCACAAATGGCACTCCATGTTGCTGCCTTTGAGCCCCTGGAAGTGGACATAATTTTGAACAGTGGGGATTTGCTGCCTGTGCTGTGGAAGGGAAGCAACATGGGAGGCTCCAATACAGTGCTCCTTCTCCAGGTAATCTCTGCATGTGCCTGCTCCAGCAGATGTAGGTGCAGAAGCATAGACTGTAGATCTGCCTCTGAATTACTCTGCTAATCCAGCAGCTGAGTTGAACAATGTCCAAGCATCTATGAGGACGCAGCACTAACCTCTGGATTGGAGTCCTGCTTCCCCTTCTCAGCAACTATGTATCACCTGCCTGGCTGCTGAGGATACTATTCAAAAGCCTATGTACATCTTTTTATAATGATTTTGCTGTAATGTTTAAAGCAAGCATTTGAAAATAAACAGAGTATGTTAGAGATCAAGATTTGGATTAGCATCTGCATTGGGTTTGGCTCTGATGTCATGGTTTGACTTCAAGGAAATACCTGGGCTATGGCCCAGACTCTACAACACTAAAACTCCTACACATGCACCTACAATTTCAGGCCCCAGTACTGGGATGAGGTAAGATTATGAGGTGGTCAAACTAAGGAAGGATTGAGAAAGAGCAGCTGTTCTGAGAAAGTCAAACCCAATCCTGGAAAGGACTGTATTGTTTTTAATACAGATTACAGATATATACAGATTTTATATCAGCTTATTTATTTTCATTTAAAACATTATTTCTTTTTGTTTGCTTTTACCAGAAGTATTGTAATGAGTACAAGTTGTGCTGTGGATATTGCTATCGAAGCAAATATTGTTGTCCCAGTTTCTTTTACATCTGGTATAAAGCCCCTTACTTTATACTTCATGCTTGACTTCATGCCTACCAGGAGAGCTGTACTCTCAGCTGCACAAGTGCTTCAACAGGTTTCCATGACCAGCACTGCAATGTGTGGAAACACAATAGCTCAACAAAGACAAATTTACCAACCAGAGTTCAGGGAAGAAAAATATAAAAAACCCACAGTCTATGAAATAAACTCACAGAGCTTTGCAAAAGCATTCCCATTATTTTCAGACTCTGAAGGGACTTGAACAGTGACTTGCCTAACAGGTGATTATTGCTGGAGAGGGTGAATGAAACCAGACATGGCAAAGACCAACTCAGGATGCATACCTGCAACTTACTCTGAGCCATTTTGAGCTCACATCATTTTAGATAGCCAACAGTGAATACAGAGCTGCAGCAAGGCTCTGTTTATTAAATTACACATGCTTTCAGAACACTAAAAATAGTTTTCCAGGTTGGATGCTGACACATGAATGGAAGCCACTACCCACCACTTTGACTAGGGAAAGTATCCTTCTTTTGCTTTATCTCCCAAATCAGTTGGATTTCCCCTCTGGTCCATGATAACATTGTGAGGGGCCAAACCAGAGTTGTCAGCAGAGCTGGGCAAATCAGTGCTTCACTGACTGAAAAAGTCAGTGTTTCCCAAATCTGCACCTCAAGAAGGGCTAACTCTGTGCAAAGACCAGTCTTAGCTGCTCTTCCAGGGGATGTGGCATCCTCCTGAGTCCCCATCACAAAGCAGAAGTCTTCATCAGTGGGTGCCAGATATTCTCTGTGTAGCTAAAAGTGTCACTAGCACTCTGTGATGCTGAGTTTTTTGCCACTATCGGGAAACTCTACGGTTGTCATCAGACCTACCAGTAACTCTTCTGCCACCTTGAGGGTGAACTTTGAGGGTGTAATTGGCACAATGACATCCTCTGGACTCAGACCCTCGAGGCTGGGTACTGTCTGAGACTGATGTTGCCCTGTTCCATGGGTCGATTCTGGGCTATGCAGCTTCCATTACAGAGAGATCTCAGCTCAGGGGCAGGAGCAAGAGGAGGAGATAACTGCCTTCGGGGAAAATGATTCTCCCTCTCATTTCTGACATTTAATATCATACTTTGTGTGATATTTCCATGTGCAGGTGTCAAGGTATATTCTATCATTCTGTTATGAAAAAAATTGTTATTTATCTGTGAATATCACCAGCTTCAATGGACTTTAAACCCATTACACAAGTTTTGAATTTGTCTCCAATGTAATTCCTCCACCAGCCTTTTAGTGCCAACTCTACTCAAGTATTTTGGTTCCTACATATGGAATTTAAGCCTTGAAGGACCTCTGCACCTGAGAGCCTAGCAATCTGTTTTTCAGATGAGGACAGATTTCAGATCCATCCTTCTAACTTCACTGTTAAACAGCTATTAATAGTTAGCTAGATTGTTATTGTAAGCTTCTATATTTGACTATTAACAGCAACTGCATGTTCGTATCAGCTCCAGATAAAACAAGCCTACCTAGGGATTGATTTTATGATGCCAAAATGATAAAGTTTGCTAAAAAATGTAGAGTGAATGTGTAAGCTCTGGAAAACATTAACAAAAATAACTAAGTAACACTCCCAATTCATACCTAATTCCTACTGACATCAAATTTAGCTGTGTGTACTTTGGACCCATTGGAACTGTTACACTAAAAAATCTTGTTGCACCAGTCCTCTTTGAAATGTACAACATTTTGTATTCTGAGTACTCTGTAAAAAAAAAAAAAAAAAAAAAAGTTTTGTCATCACTGTAGTTTAGGCAGATTCTCCGTTGTCTGGTATCTTGTTATAGTAATTTATCTCAACACAGAGTGGGTGTATGGTAGCCAGCAGTCTGTGTTAGAAGCGTTTTATATTCAGTTTGCACTTACGTAAATGATTGTGCAAGATGTGAGAGACAATCTAGCCCCTGGGAATTATACATGTTTTTGGGTGTAATCTTTATATGTGTAGCCAACACATAAGAATATGGAGAAGTTTTAACATGTTACAGTTGCCATCACCCCAAATAAATATAATTAACCAAGCTGCTTTCAATTGCATTTACAGGCAGGATTCAAAATAGCTCATGGTTTCTGGTGGCAGATATATAGGAAATATGGGCCTGTAAGGAACAATATATTGCTTTGTTTTTCATAGCATTATTCACCACGTTTTCTCAATAGTCAGATAAGAAACTCTTCAGGCCAAGGAAGGGTTAGGAAAGTGGATTCCAAAAAGCATTAAAGCCTGTGTGGTTTCATGGAATGCTTCTTTGCAATTCAGAAGAAAACTCTGGTAAATTATGTCCCACTTCAACTGAATTAGATTTAAACTCCGTTTTAGAGAAGCTAGTATCACGGTAATCACTAGGACAGCCCAGTCCAGAAAGCAAGTTGTATGAAACTGTGTCTATAATACAAGGCCATGTGTTTCTTCCTTTTACCACAGAGCCATAAATGTTGCATATCCCACTTTGCAAGTCAAAGTGTCCCAGAAGCACTATTAACAATATTGGGGGCTAGAGGAAATGGAGGCACCTTACCAATGTGCTCCTCTGAGGCTTGGAAAGCCTTGACAGGACTCAAAAGCACTATTAAAGTTTTTTTTTGTGATTTTTTTTTTTTTAATTATTCTCAGGGCTGGTGACAGTGTATAGGAGAGGGGCACTTGCTGGTGGCAGCACATGTCTCATACCCACAAGAATTCACTGTCAAGAAAGAATAGCTCTTCAAATCATCAGAGTCAAGTCAGGCCTCTGGGTGGCCTAAACATTACCAAGGTGTCCATGTCTCTCTGCAGAGGTTTGGGTTCTTTATTTTGTCTGACTGTAAACCACAGCCCTCAGTAGAAAAGTAAAGGAAGAATCCAAGAGGCAACTCCTGGTTGACTTTTTGTTGGACGCTTAATCTCCTAAAGTTTCCCTTGTGGTGGGTATTGCAGGTTTTCAGTATAAGGCAAGGAGGTCTAGATGCCAGAAAAAAAAATCTGCTTTCCTCTAACCCAATGCTCAGGAACAGCTGAACCATTTTTGCTGAAGCCTTAAACACACTCAGCATGAAGCAGATTTCCCCAGAAAAGAATTTTTTCCACCTGGATAATGTAAATTTGGCAAAATAATAATCAGATTAATATAGGGATGTAGAATGGAAAATTATAAGCTCCTGCCAGCTCTGCCGAGAATAATAGTTCATATGTTGTCCACCCCTTTTTAGACCAAGATTTGTCTTGTTCTGCTACATCTAATGAATGCCTTTAAGACTGACCCGCCTTAATGTTTATTATGGTTGTAACTCATTTAGTACATCAAATCACGACGGTGAGGAGGAGGAAGATGTGTGAAGTGAATATGTAAGAGATGAATTATCTGAAAGACAGCAATACTGACTGACATCACCCCGCAATGTGCAGTGCCTCTGTCTGCAGCAGCCTGGCTTCCACAGCGATAGGAAAATCAGAGAGGTGAACTCCCTCCTATTTCCTCCTTGGAATGTGTTCAAGGCTGTGGCCTCACCTCTCTTGGAAGAGTCTTTAAATATTTTCAATAATGGGAAGGGATGGAATGGCTGCGGGCTGGATCCTCTTGGAAAGTTCCCTGTAGCATTACGGGGTGACGTTGCTGGGAGCCTGCTCCAGCTGTTAAAAGATGGACTTTGCTGGATTGCTCACTAATTCTGTACAGCCAAATACACTTATTGCAACTAGGAGTGATTAATCTCTGGTGTAACTCTCCTGCAGTCTGCAGTCCCATTTTTGAGAGCAGAAACCAGGCAGGTACCATGCAAAAAAATATAACATGCTAGTGGCAGCAGAACCTGTGAGACAAGGAAAAAGTTCTGTGCTTTGAGACTCATTTCACTTGTAAATCATGAACTAGGTTATATATTGCCTGGAATAACCACCCCAGAATCAGAAATCTTGTGGGGGGCGTTTAGCACAGGTAATAGGGGATGCAGTGGAAACATCACCTGGCGTTTGTCACTGGTTTTGGAAGCATTAATTTCCTGATTTTCCGACATTTGGGGGATTTTGTTTGGTTGATTTTTTTTCTTTATTTTATCTTATTTTAACGCATACAACAGACCGGCTTAGCCGACCGCCCCTCCGCTGCTCGCTACCCCCCGCCTCCGCCGTGCGCGCCCGCGGTGCCGCCGTCCAGGTGTTTCACGTTAGCGCCGCGCTGTAAACCCCGCTCACGAACACGGTGACACATAAACGCTAAATTAAAGAGGCGCTGCTCCCCCGTCCTGGGGCT